TTCCTGACACAAACATCCGGCGACCAAGGATCATGAGCCTCCACTCCATCGCGCACCGGTGATGTCCAGACGCGTCCAACGCACTCACCCACAGAATCAGCGCCATAACGTGCAACAGTGACCGCACGAAGATGTCGCGTCCGGATCCTGAACCGCTCCACACAAGTTCCGTGGCCAATCGCACTCTGAGCACCCACACGGACCGCTGCAGAAGCGTCCTGACCGTCTGACAGCCACAGAGGCCACGCGTGCGGATCTGTCAGAGGCGTACACAGAGCGCGGTGGCACTGCGCGGCGTGCTTCGACACACAATGCTACAGCGCTCGGATGTTTGGTCGAGATTGCTCACCTCGGGCGAGTCTGGACTGTCCAGTTGACCGTAAGGGCACACTACGGATGGGTGACGCACCTTCAAATCGCTGTGCGTGTCGCATGTGCGTGCTTGAGGGATGGGTAGCAGTACATACAACATGACATTCCGCGCCCGATAATAGTTAGTAAGTCGCTAGCCCTAGCGGCGAGACCATATAGCACACGAAAGATAGGGAGAAGATATGCACGAGGTACGCGTGAAAACCAAGACCCAATGCGCGATATGGGGAGATGCGAGGTATAGATGGGGGCATGCATGAGACAACAGAAGAGAGGGAACGTCGTGAGAGGGCTATCGTCCGGGTCGTAAGGAGTGGCGGATATTGTCAGCGGGGAGTGGATGATGGTATGGAGAAGCAGCACCATACGTTGCTTGTGTGCATCGTCTGGGTCATGCAGTGTCTGTCTGTGCTTGTCGCCAAATCGGCCTATCGGCTGACGTGCGAGTGAAATGGGGTAGAGTTGTAGCCTTACGGTGGCGGAGGATGGCGGAGGTGGTGGCATCCATGCGAGGCTAGAGCGTTGTATGGGTGCACGTGCGTGTGCTGGGTAACGATGAGCTGGGGTATTCGGGTATTTGCAGGTGGTGGGCGAAGGACACCCAATGGGAGTGCCGGTCCAACTTCGGGCGGCTCGAGTTGGGACTGTTGAGGGTGACCCGGTATGGGGACGAGTAGCGAGAAGAGATCCGTCGACGGAGTGCATACTTCGAGCGTGAGGGAGATCATCATAGGAGCTTGGAAGCACGTAGATGTTCCCGTATGACCATATCCTTGACTGCTCGCACTGAGTCAACCGTCAAAGGGACAGAAAGAAGAGACTTACCACTCGCGATAATACCACCGGTAGTGGTAGTATCCTGCAAGCAAACCACGTGAGCTTTGAGCGGGAGATCAGCTCGTCGGACATACTGTGACTGATGTACAAAAGCCGTAGAATTTGCGCGGTATAGGGGAGTGTTCCCGGTGGATGGCACTGAACTTGCTTTTGAAGTCTGCATTTGAAGTGTGAGCACTCTCACCAGGCAGAAGGGTCGCCATACTCTTACACTTCTCCGCAGTCTCGGGTTCGTTAGGCCGATCCCCAAAACTCCGCACATATTTTGCCAGCCGCACGCCGGACTTGAGTTTCGACGCCAGGATATCGCACTTGTTGAGGAACAGTACTAGGTCGACTTTCGCAAGTAGCTTGTTCGAGCAGACTTCCTTCCAAAGCAGTACGCTATCCTCCTATGATGCGTGGGCGTTCTGGATGAGCAGCATCCAACTAGAGAGCAATTCTCAACCGACCAGTCTGTTAATACTCCGATCTTCCACGAGAGTCTGATCGAATGCAGAAATCGGCGCGAGGAAAATAATCGCTGCATGGCGGACATGAGAGAACGTTAGCTGCAGGGGTCGTGGGGACTGACCGTTCACTATTCGCCCCAGACACGAACGTCATCAGTACAACATACGGTGTCGTATACAGGAGAATCCCGTACCGTCATCGAAGAAGGGTACCCATGTTGCTGAAGGGTTGCGTGATCAGAGATTCTGTGTTCACAGCAGACTGATGGCACACTCACGCCGCTAATATACGCGCCGTTAGTAAGCTGCATTACAGGGAGAAGATGTCGTCCTGACCTGTGACCGTGAACCGCCCACGTCGATGATGCGCCATTCGGTGCCAGTCTCCGGACCAGCCTCCATATGGAAGCTATACTCCGAAACCCCGACAGTTTTCAGGCGTGCTCTCAACACATCGTCTACCAGGTCATGTAAATATCGGGATCGCCTGATGAAGCAGTGATGCTGCCTACCGTCCGAGGGAAAGTAGGACAGTGAGGTGACGCGCTCCAGGTCATTCAGGTAACTGGATGTCCGCGAGTCAGAAATGCGTCACACGGGCAAAGTGGGACTTACAAGCCGGGGCTCTCTTCGAGCCTAATCTTCCGACGCCGCAGTATCTGTCGGACGACCGGATCCTGCCATAAGGCCGCCATATCCGATCGGCAGTGGTAGAGAACCGCCTGAGACTCGTCAACGGTTTCCTGCCCGGTCGTGCCCGCTGACTGAGGTCTACCAATCGTTCGCATCTTCCACGATGCGCCTGGGCGAACGAAGACCTCTTGCTGGCGGAATGCATGGGATGGCTGTGGATGACCGCTGCCGTAATATGACACGTTGCCGTTGACACTATTGCTCCCACCAACGCCCAGAGTGGTCGCCTCGTGCTCATTAGGAGGGACGAGCTTGGCGATGAGGAGCGATTCCACATGGCGCAGAGGGTGAAGCCGCCTACGGAGCTCTTCTAGATGGTAAGGCAGGGAGACCTGGCTCTCGGACTCTGAGTCTGACTCCGGCTCGGAGGTATAGATTGAGGAAGGGTAGACGTCGCGTCGCCGAATGTCGCTTATCGCGTCGAGTATGGTATGTATTGAGCGCACGATATTCAGCTGTATGACCGCGCGCCATAGGATGCGCTCCTCTCGGAAGGCGTTGGGGGTATATAGTCGTTGAAACTCTGAATCGAAGGGTCAGCACTGTGATCCCATTTGAACACATCACCACTGGAGCGAAGGCCAGGGACGTAGTGGAGCACAAGGTGCAGAGCAAGCGACAGAGAGATTGCCGAGACGATATAGACGGGCCGGCAAAGACTACCGCACTCAGAGCAGAAGAGCTTCTGTGACTACTCGGAGGAAGGCTTATTGGTTCATGGCGAAAGCCTTGCCATAGACTGTCGCTGAAATGCACTGGTCTAGCGACACCGAAATATATGACTTACGGCGTAACGTCGTGGATTTCCCTGGCAGTAATTCAGTACGGTTTCGACGCACACGCTGTATGCCTCCGACCGACCTGATTCACTTTGGCCCAATAGGAGGAGTCTCACAAGTCTTCGCTTCTTGCGCTGTTTCTCCTCGAGTCGGATGGCCTCATCTATGGCAAGGCTGACGCGCTTTGCGGCCTCCTCACTCGCCAGCCGCTGTGCTTTCTCCTCCTCGGTCTCGTCTATGGGCGGTCTGAGAGCGGCGGAGAGAGGGTCACGGTCCGTGGGCTCTCGGGAGACGGGCATGATGGTCATGGAGAAGAAAGATGGAACGGAGGAGCTGGAGACGAGGGAATCTAAAGAGGAACAGTGGCGGAGAGCGAAAAGGTGACAGACATGAACGCTCGCTGCAAGAATCCGGCGTACACGGGCGTCTCGCCTGCTAATCCCGCGCAGACGCCCGTCTATGCTCTCCGAGTCCGATCCCGGCTTGTCCGGAATTGCAATAATGTTGTCTCAAGCCCGCGTTGCGATCATGACGGCGCAGCCTGAGCGACCTCTGACAAACGCACTAACCGACGAGACAACACCTGCATTGCCCCTCTGCATCACCGTTGTGCTCGGCTTGTATCTGTACCCTTGTCTCTCGATACGTCTACGCTGGGAAGCGTTGCCCGCCGTCAAATGTCCTTGGCTGCACCGCCAGGATCCGGAGATAGATTCACCTCGCAGTGCACGCGGGATGACTTGTAACTTTGACCATCCGCTGATCGCCCTGATTGCATCGCAGGCATGCATGTGAGAAACTCATATGCTCAGGCTCCCGCACGCCACGAGCGCTGACCCGAGCCTCCTGGCTTCTGGATTGCTCCTTCCCTCATACCCAATATTGAAGCTTAAGCCATTCGACAGGACTGTGCCTGCTGCCAGGCACCGAATCATCCTGAGATGAGAACCTTGCTCGCCCCTCGCGGCCATTCTATGTCCTCAGTGACGCTGCCGTAGGAGAGCTCGACGCAGTGTGGCCGGTGAGTGCCCGTGCGAACTCTCTTGTTGGTATCTCATGCATCTCGTGCGTCCCCACATGGCAACATGACACTTCCCGTGGATGAGCATCGCGACGTGCGGAAGCTAGCCGCATTGTAGAGCATCGGTATACGTGATCTGACCATTTGCCGCAAGCTGAACATATTGCATCCCAGCCGGAACCGAACTATACACGACTATTCGTGTACTGGCACCGATTACACCATGAGGCGATGTATCCAAGGCCTTTGAAGATCTCAAATGGGATAGAACGCGGGTATGAGTTACTGCCTATATACTACAGTACTAGCCGACTCGGATCGTCTCGAATACAAGACCCGGATCCTCTCCTATGTCTGTGCATTCCTGTAGTATCCTCATAGGCATACGTGATACATATGAATGCGCATTCCTCTGTTTCTTCCCAGGAGAAAACGTTGTTTGTTGGAGCTGGCAATGGCATCCAGACTCGGAAACAGAGTGGGCGCTTAGCATGAATCCTGTAATTCCGGGAACCTCTATCGCGCTTGCGCGCTCTATACACAGAACAGAGCTGAGGAATCAGACCAAGAGAAGCTCTTGGTCATAGCAAGAACCTGCTGCGGGATGGAATTTGGACGATGCCTCCTCCATTGAAGCACGAGTTGTCCCGTCCGAGCGGTTCCAGCAGCTCTTCTCGTCAGACTCCTCTTTAACTGTCTCAATAGCACATCATATTGCGAGCTCCGTTTCTTCTCAGAAATGGCTCAAGCCTTCCTATGATACAGTGGGATCTCTGCAGGTGATGACTATGCCAAAGGTCCAGCTATGTTGTTGTACTGGCTGTTTCTTGGGGTCATCACAGATATGGCTACCTGGCGCAATGGTAGCGCGTTTGGCTTCGATCGCCTGACGGCTGCTGACTAGTCCAGTCACGTCACCAAACGGTTGCAGGTTCGAGTCCTGCGGTGGTCATCGTTTTTTCCGCATTTCTCTAGCTCCATCTTCGTCCAGGATGATTTTAATGATCCGGATCAGCAGCCCGGGAGAATGAGGCTGAGCCAGGGTCCCAACCTACGAAGTTACCATATATGGAAGTTTGGCACAGCATTCGGACATGGCCGAACGCCGGCTGCATACCGCGCGCCTCTTCGTACTACTCACAACTTGGGTGGATCAAGCAACTCAGTCTGCAACGATTCTGCGCCTTTCGCGACCTCCGTATGCGCAAGAGCTGAGCTTCCCACCGGTTTCATTGGCACCGCATATCCATTTCTCAGGTCCGTGACGAGAGGTCCTCAGGTAAACCGCCGCGTTTCGGTGTCCACACTCCGAGTTGCAGCGACAGAATCCGGTCACTCGTGAGGGCTCGGTGGCCACGATTCTGTCAGGAACGACTTCACGAAGGGCGGAGATCATTCTCCGCGCACGAGGGAAGCAAGAGTGGTGTCCTGAATTCGTCCTGGGTAAGCCTGAGATGCCGGATGCATTTCAGGGCATCTCGGTGAAGGCCCAAACACGATGCTTCGGTTGGGAATATACCCTGCCTACAGCTGGTGCACCCGGAATGTGGGCCAAGGGACATGTACGTGTTGTGTATGCAAGGCACAGGAACAGGCTCTGTACCTGAAGCGAGGGGACACTTGGGTGCGAGAAGGCGCGCTCAGGGAACCTCCTGGATATCACCGCCAGCTCTCACAAGCATGTGCATACGGCGCGCTCCAATGAGACTGGGTTCGGCTGGTGTCCACCACGCGATGAACATCGGAGTCGCAACATCTCTAGCACCTGCACTAGTTATGAGCGTAGCACCGAGGGTGAATAAGGGATGTAGTAAATGCTTCTGTCCATACCTTGGAGCTCGGAGACGTCCTCATGCACCAAGCGCTTTCACGCGCCCATACAACCTAAGCACTGGCTACGCAGGCTTGGTGATATTAGAGCTGTCTTGCGGCAGTAGACCGATGCTAGGAGTTCCCCGATCAATATTGAGTGTGTCCAGCCGTGGAGAGCCGTGCGGCGGGTTACGTCCTCAAGACCCTCAGCAGCACGGCATGCATTTAGAGCGAGGGGCCGACATGCGATAGCTTGCTCTGGCATACTCCTCGAACGCCTATAGGCCGCCCACGAGATCACAGGACGGTCCCTTAGCTTCTGATGCATGGATTGCGCAAAGCAAAGAATACAATTTGATTTGGACTTCTCCCAGTAACATCGTCTAGATCAAGAGGGGACGGTGGCGGAGCACATCAGAACAACCACGGGCCGACTGCGAAAGGATTGACCAGTCAGCACTCCTGCGGACCAGGTAGTTTCTTGCTGAACGCACCTCTCCCTCTCTCGCCTTCAGGCTTGATTTGCAAGCAGCTCTGGTGGATGAGGTTGAGCGCCTTGACGGCGTCTCGCCCGTCGATAACGCAAGAGATGTTGATCTCATTTGCGCCCTGGCTGATCATCTCGATGTTCACGTTGCCCTGGCCGAGCGTAGTGAACATACGCCCCGAGATACCAATCATGTTCCGCATGGACTTCCCGACTAGCGAGAGGATGGCCATATCTCGGCTCACGGTCACCTGTACAACGCTCAGCGATAGGCATCGCAACGAGTCGACATGGAGAGGTTTACCGTGCCGCTTTTCCTCAGCTCGCGCACCACGCGATCGAGGACCTTCTTGTCAAGGTTCTCCTCGATGGCCATACTCACGTAGACCTCACTCGTACTGATGAGGTCCACCACGACACCGTACCTGTCGAGCGTGCCGAAGATCGTCGCGAGGAAGCCATGCGAGACGTTCTTTCGGTTCGAGTTCACGTTCAGGACGATGATGTGCTCCTTGATCGTGACCGCTGTCGGCTGCCGTACGTGACTATGCTTGTCCGAGTAGGGCGACGCAAAGGGGATGGCGGCTGTTTTCGCAGCAGAGGTCGTAGGGATGACAGGGGGATACGGTGAATCGGCACCGTTAGGCACGACGCAAGGGTCCAAATCAGGGTCGGGATGAATGACGGTGCCGCCGCCTTTAGGATTCTCGACATTCTTGATACGAATGGGGATTTTGCGTCGGATCACCTATGAAACTGCGTGAGCCTCAAGGACGCAGTGGCAGGTCGTAGAGACTGACCTGGTCCATGGTGAAGGGATGTACGACTTCGCTCCCATAGTATGTGAGCTCCGCCGCCTCTTCTGGAGAGATGATCGGGATCAACCTCGCAGTGGGTACCTTGCGTGGATCCGCGGTGAAGATACCGTCAACTTCTTTCCATATTTGCAGCTCAGAGGCACCAAGGCCCGCGGCGAGCAGCGCAGCAAGCAGGTCCGTGTAGCCGCGCCCCACCTGCCTGAGAAGCGAGCCAGGGACAGGGCCAAAGAATCCTGGCAGAGCGATGAGAACACCGGTCAAGGGAAGGATTGTGAGAGCATACCGGTCACTACAGGCACGCGGTTCCCGCACTGCCTAATCCTCTCTGCCACTACGTCCGCCAGGCGGTCGTAGAAATCTTGTCCGAGAGTTTCCGAGTCCGAGAAGTTCTCGCTTTCGGCGAGGGGTACGATGCTCTCTAGGCTTACGAACTCCGCGTCTATATTCTGGGCGGCGCGATGTCAGCGGTGGTGAGCGTGCAACTGCCTGAAGGACCTACTCTATCTCTAAGGATGGCGGTGACTAGTTTGCACCCTAACCGCTCTCCGAAGCCGATGATGCTGTCTCTTGACCTCGGGGAAATCTCGTCTATGACCTTCTCGCAAATTCGACATTAGGAGAGTGGCCAGTATGATACCCCTGGGCACTCACCTGAGTGGCAAACAGGAAAGATCTAAGGGCCTCGCAGTCGCGGTCTATTTCCATCTCCAATTCCCTCAGGATGTCTGGATTCCGGACAGATGCTTTTGCAGCATTGATATGTTCTGAACGGATGAGGTCTACAGTAGTGCTAAAGGCGGGGATAGCAGCAGTAATCGGGGACATGGCTAGTGATGACCCGGGGGTATTGGACGTAGGTGAGGACTTGCCCGGGCTGGCGAACGGGGATTGGTATTGGGAGAGTCGATTGAAGATACCATTGGGAGACATCGTCCCTGGCGTCTCCGACACGCTGTTGGAGCGTTGCAATGCCTCCGACGCTGCTTTCAAGAGAAGGTTGGTCGTTCCGAGGGCTTTTGTGGAACCCGAACGCGCCGAGCAAACTATGGCGACCTTATGCTGGTCTAGGTACTCACTGGTGCAACAAAGAGCAGAAGGGTGAGCAGTGAAATCATAGATGCAATGCTTGAGGAAGAGAGGACGGACGGTATGATGTCTTCCGCAATCTTCACGGCGAACTTCCCCACACTGGTTCCGCCATACTTTTGCACCAGCCATTTGGCGGCCGGATCGATGGTGTTTTGATGCATGTTCGGAGGCGTACGCGGAACACTTGAGAACGATAAAGAAGAAGAGCGAGAGGAGGGCGCGGACAGGGAAGTGGGGGTGGATGCTAGAGACATGGCGGGGGCGGAAGGGAGGGATAGCGGACGATCTGCTTATAGTGCACCAACCCTTCAAGCGGATGACTCGACCAGCAAGATGCTCGGCATCCCTTCAAACTTACGTGCTCGAGCTTCTTATACGACATCACGCACCGTTCGCCAGTTACGAGAATCCGAGGCTACCCGCATGAATATACTCTTCGGGAACGCGTCTGCCAGGCGAGGATGCTCGGAGGACGCGCTGGTCGTCGGGGCGATAACTTCCGACAGTGTCTTCGGGCGATTTCTGAGGTCTCATGACTAACGATTTACGCCGAAGCCAAGGATACCCCTCAGAATCGAATGGTAGGGGCCAGACTGAGAAGAGGTGTCGGATGGTTGGATTTACACGGTGTTGAGACATGGCAGGGGATGAGGCTCGTCCAGACATCTCCCAACCTGAGGAGGTGCAGTGGAAGTAATACATTTCTAACGCTTCGGCAATCCGTCAATTAGAAGTCCTTGTAATCCTGTTGTAATCACTCTATTAACTCAACATTACTCGGAGTAAGAAAGCGGTGTAAGCGATTACGCGCCCGGGGTAATCTCGAGGACCGTCGCGTACACGTCGGTATCTGTTACTGCGTTCACCGTCACTTCGCGTGTGCCGTCTTCAGCTTCGTCCTCACAGCCGTCCTCGACGAGTATGGCGGATGCGTCATTCAAAGACGTTCCGGAGATATTCGAGGTGCGTACCGTAACTCGAAGATGTACCAGACATTCACGACATTCGCCAGGTCGAGCTCACAGAGTCCTTGACCGCGCGCACGGAGAGCCTATGTCGGTTATGCCACACTTTGGGACATACAAGCGTGACCTAACGATATATTCTGTGCAGCGACATTCAGGGAACTTGGCCCGCCTGACCTCGTCCACGTTCTGAAGAGTACTGGTCGCAGCGGCCAACGAGACGTGAGTGTGCACCTCGAACCCTGGATGCGCCACCGCCCAACGTACCTCCTAGCTCGGTTCATACCACTATGTCTCCGGAGTCGACGCATCATCTTCCGCCTCTCTGGCAGCCTATATCAACTCCCTGACCTACAACATAGAGGACGACTCCGGCTGGTTCTCGAAGGGGACGTCCTGGAAGGTCAAGAGCGGATGCTATTGGTGAGTAGTCGAGCAACCCCCGCTCAGTCCACGTACCAATCAATCGCCCAGCTGCTTCAATGCGTTCTCTCGGGTGGACGTCCGCGTCGATGTCAAGATTCCAGGAGGAGTGCAGGCATATGTCGTCGACTTGCGAGGCGAGAGGTACGCGCATTATCGCGTTCGAGGCTCCGCGTTTTCTCTGAACCTCTATCAGACATGAAGCAACCGCGGAGATCTGGCAAGAGACCTTCCTGTCTGCGCTTCTCCGTGCTATCCTCTACTCCGACGATCCCACCTACTGGCTAGAAGCATACCGCAAGCTTGATCCAATCACCAATCCTGAGGGCGAGCTGCGTTTCCTACAAGCAGCGGAGGC